ATCAGTAACAATTTATAACTTTATGGAATTAGTTGACATAGTATTCAGTAACTATTTTAAAAAAAAAGATAAAAGGAATGCAAGTTCTGAACCACATCCTGTGACTTCTACATTGACATTTCACTTATTAGTTTATATACACAGAGTTCTATACATCTTAAAATGACTATAGGGTACTATTCAGCTGTCTCATGTCTATTTTAATTTTAGTATTTAGCAGTTTATAGCGTTGAAGCATGATTTTGCTGAACCTGGCTGTTTTTGGGTAGTCTAACTCTATAACAAGACATATGTCAACAGTTTAGGTGAACAGTTTCAGAGGGGTGTGCAGAGAAATCCTCAGTACCCTAGTGAGGAGTAACTAATCTTTGTGTCCCACCTACTGAATTATAAGTGTATCCCCGCTGACCATTTCCTGTCTGTGGGGAAGAGAAAATTGTTTTGCAATATTGAACAGCCAAGATACCTGTGTGTTTGGGGAAAGAACCGAAAATATAATTTAGACATAATTTACTGCAAGATTCCTGTGGAATAAACTGATAAACATTCATGAACTCTGGAAGATGGTTGGCATCATACAATGGAAGAATCTTAAGCAGCCACAGTGACAGAGGGATGGAAGTAAAGGTATTCATTATCTGAACGCTTGCTTCTTAGGCAAGGATTGGAGGGGTTTTTTCACCTAACTAAAGTCAGAAAGTTTTTAAAATCATTGTAAACATTTACAAAATTAACAATAATTTTAAGAAGGTGGTGCAGGGTGAATTTTCTTTTTCTTTGAAATATTTTAAAATTTTATTTCAAGATTTAAATATTTGAGGCCCAGTTCAAAGGCACAACTGGTTAGTTTTCTCCCTTTAATTGGAGGGATCCCATATGGGCACCCATTCAAGTCTCTGCTAGGACTTCCACTTCTCATCCAGCTCCCTGTATGTAGCCTGATAAGGCAGCAGCAGATGGAGAAATGCCTTGGGAACCTGAACCCACATGGGAGATACGAAGGAATCTCCTGGATCCTAACTTCGGATTGGCTCGGTCCGGCTATTGTGGCCACTTGGGGAGTGGACCAGCGGATAGAATATCTATCTTTCCTTCTTTCTGTAGATTTGCCTTTCCAATTAAAAAAAATGAATAAACCTTTTAATTTAAGGGGATATATAGTAACTGTGTAATGGAGACTATCATATCTGGATGTGAGGATACAATGCAGTATGCATCTCTACTTCCAGACAAAGATGGACTCCCAATGAAACTGTTAACTATATCTTGACAACAGGATGCTGGACTCTCTGTCACTCTCCGTGGCCATAATAATGAACATATGATTGTGTATGAAGAACTAAACTACAGTAATGACATAGGGGAACTCAGTGAGGTGGGAGGGAATTGAGGAGGGGATAAGAGAAATCCCAGGGCCTATGGAACTGTACCATATAATGATAATAAGAAGAAGTAAAAATTTTTAAAAAATGAATAAATCTTACAAAAATAATTATTTTAACATCATTTTATATTTATTTTTAATGTAGATATTTTACATCTAAACATAAATACTATTTTTCTTGAAAACAGGGATATTAATGTCACATAATATGGAATCTGGGCTTCTACCTTTCCAAAACAATGGGCAGTCCTCTCTGTCACCATCCAGGACATGTCCTTGGGGCTCCGCCTTATTTGTTTTGTACTATGACTACTTAAGCAATGTCATGCTCATTGAGATTTCAAATTCAGCTCTTGGTGCCCTGTGTAACACATGACATTGCTCCTGTTTGCTGGGGTCTCTATAGGAGGATGTGAAAGCTGAGTTTCCCGGTATGGTAAATTTGAATCCCCTAACGTCAGAGATTTTTTTTTTAATTACTATTATTTTTTGTGAGGATCTCTTCTCAGCTACAAATCTCACGGTTCCAGCTGTTAAGTCAGCCTTTTGCCCTTTCAGGAGATGGAGCGGTGATAACAATTGTTGCTAAATCTGCAAGTTGTCATCCTTGGAATATTTTCCTCAATCTACTCATATCTTTTCAAGTAGTTCTTGATTAAACTTAAATAACTTTACTTTATAATGTTATTATTTTCTTTAAGATTTACTTATTTTTATTGAAAGGCAGATTTACAGAGAGAAGGAGGTATAGACAAAGGTCTCCTGTCTGCTGGTTCAATCCCCAAGTGACCACAACCAGCCAGAATTGTGCTGATCTGAAGTCAGGAGCTAGGAGCTTCTTCCAAATCTCCCAAGTAGGTTCAGGGTCCTATGGCTTTGCAAAATCTTTTACTGATTTCCAAGGCCATAAACAGGGATCTGGATGGGAAGTGGAACAGCTAGAACATGAACTGGTGCCCATATGTGTTCCTGGAGCATGTAAGGTGAGGGCTCAGCCACTGAACCATTGTGCCAGGCCCCTGTCATACTTTTCTTGCCAGTATCATCATCTACTTATAATATTCAAGCTTTTTACATCATAGCATATTTCCTTAATAAACTGAATTTGTTTTAGTAGCAGAATATTTTCCAAAATATTTCAAGAAAAATCTGGGGAAAATGTATAATAGAGTTTTGTTGGTGGGCTTTGAAATAATAAAGAAAATACTTTCTGTAATATCCTTCCCATTAATTGCACTTTTTACATTATTTTTGTTAAACTTTATGAATACAGTGTTTATTTTGCCTCTATCCCAATACGCCACTAAATTTCAATAAAATATTATGTAACAAAGCCTTTTTTTTTTCCCAGAAAACAAACATGATACCTAAAGGATTATTTTGAATTTACGTTAATTAGGAAAGCATTCCAGAAAGTTGAACTACCAGTATATTAGGTATTACACAAAATAATTCAAGGAGGAAGTAAACTCTTAAGACGTATGGAAAAACTTAAATGAAATCAAAGATGAAAGAATAAGTAAATGAACAAAGAAAAATGGGTATTGCCTTACTACATCTTCTATTGCTATAATATACCCTATTCTGGATTACACATAAAGAAAAAAGGCTAATTTGGCTCACTGTTCTAGTGGCTGGAAAATCCAGACAGTATGGTACAGTTATCTGTCATGGGCCACCTGTTTGTGTTACATTATAGGTACAGACTGTGTCAAGTGGCAGGAGCACATGTGAAAGAGACCACATAGTGGGGAAGGATGCCAAGAGATGGGGAAGGAAGACCAATTGTTTTATGCAAAACTGGTGGTTTGTGAACAAATCCATATCTGTAAGACTTAGCCCACATGCTAGGAACTGTTTTACTACAATTGTAAAGCCATTCATGAACAAATCACCAGTATTGGACACCACCGATCAGAGGTCCTACCACCTTTCAGTATGATTATCTTTCAATCTAAGATTCCAACTTTTGGACAGTCAACCATATACAAACCAAGACAAACAGAACTGAAGTTTCAAATTTTATCAAGAAAAACTAACGAGAAAATATGAAAATTATGAATTAAAAAGTGACATACAAAGAGCTTAAAAATTATTAGAAAAAAATGATATTCATGAATATTTTGTAGCCTCTTCATATAGTTGAGTCTTTAACAAGTAATTATATTAACTGTTATAATAATTTATGTCAATAATTTTGAGAACACATATTAAAAGGAAAATATCCTGGAAAATAAATGTTGATGTAATTGACAAAGAAAATATAATACTCCTAATGTCTGTTGGTAAAATAACTAATGCTATTATGCTACTTACATCATTTGCCTCTTGCTTACACAGTTATTTCACATTTTTGAGATTTCTGTATTATAATTATATGTCACATCTAAACATATACCTATTTACATATATTGTTGTTCTTGATAACTTCAAAATTTATGTTTCCAGGGGAAGACATTTAAATTGGTTTAGTGAGAACCTCTAGAAACTCATTATTCCATGAACTGTTTTACAAAGCTAGCCAGGAAAAGTCAAAATAACTTTCAGCACTCTAGTAATTAACAGAAGCTGGCAATCATTGAAGGTCAAATCACTCAGCTAAACTATTAAACGTCCATAAGTTGATGAAGATTGCCCAGGACAGTATACATTTATTTACTGTCATTCCCCTTTACTCTGATCTGCTTTAGATTTGGAATGTAGAATCCTTGGAACTATAGCAACTAAACAACAATATCCCTTGTCTCTTAAAGGGACAAACTGATTTGAAGCTATCAGAAAGTGATATAACTAGAATGTTGTCACCAAATAACTTACGTCTCAGCTCTTCAAAGAACTTTCACAGAACATTGCTGTTATATGACTTAGTTTCGAATTCTCTTAATGGAAAAAGCCCTATATATAAAAGTTTTGCTTAAAGCAATCGATGAAATTCATTTTATAACAGAGCTTCCTGAGTTATAAAATATGATTAGTCAGTTCATCATGGTAAAAAATAAGATCCTATGCATTTGAAGGGAAGACTTGAAGAAGAATTTGTCTCATGTGACATTTTGAAAAGCTACTCATAATGAGGGTACATTCAAAAGAGCATGGAAAATGCGATCAAAATATATACTGAATTTGGAGTAAAATTATGTGTGAAATCCACATTCAATTAACTTTTTACAATGACATCAAAATAATTCAATGGAAAAAACATGTGTGTATCATAAAATATTGTTTATTTACCAGTACAGCCAAATGCAAATAGACAATATATTAGAACCTCACTTCACACCATATGTAAAATATATCAATATGTTTAAAGGTTAAAATTGGGAAGGGTAGGGGGAATCCCAGTGCCTAAAAAACTGTGTCACATAATGCAATGTAATAAATAAATAAATAAAATGAAATTTTAAAAAAAGGCTAAAATTATGCAATTCTTAAAAGAAAATAAAGGTAATGTGTCTTGTACCTTATGTATGGCATTGGATTCCCAGTTACAATAACAAGGTCACAATTAAAAGCAACATGTAAGGTGGCTCTGTGGCGCAATGGATAGCGCATTGGACTTCTAGTGACAATTAAAAGCAACATGTAGATAAATGGTATTTCATGGAAATGTATTTTGGTACTCGCTTCGGCAGGACATATGCTAAAACTGGAACGATACAGAGAAGATTAGCATGGCCCCTGTACAAGGATGACACACAAATTTGTGAAGAGTTCCAGATTTAAAAAAAAGAAGAAAATGTATTTTGAAGAATATTAATATACTTTGAGAAAATGACAAATATAACATAGAATGGGGATAAAACTTCAACAAATTTGTGAGCGACTTGTGTGCAGATTATATAAAGAAAATTTGCTACTCAATAATAAAAAGGACAATTTGAAAAAACAAAAACTTGCACAAATAGTTCTTGTTGGTGCTTCTGGTGTAGTTTCTAAGAAGTCTTTGCCTGCACCCATGTGTTGGAGAGCTTCCTTGCTATTTTGCTCTAGTTATGTGATAGTATTGGGTTGTAGAGTTAGATCCTTGGTCAATTTAGAGTTCATTTTTGTAAAAGGTGCAGATAGATGTCTGATTCTTATTTCTGCACATGTAGATTCAATTTTCACACACAATTTGTTGAAAAGACAGTTTTCTCCCTGGATTGGCTTCAATTTGTTTGTCAAAACTTAGTTGGCTATAAATATGTGAGCTAATTCTTGGGACTTTGTTAAAGATTTATTTATTTTTATTGGAAAGTCAGGTATACAGAGAGGAGGAGAGACAGAGAGAAAGATCTTCCATCAGATGATTCACTCCCCAAGTGAGCGCAACGGCTGATGCTATGCCGACCGAAGCCAGAAGCCAGGAACTTCCTCCAGGTCTCCTGCACGGCTGCAGGGCCCCAAGGCTTTGGGCCGTCCTCGACTGCTTTCCCAGGCCACAAGCAGGGAGCTGGATTAGAAGTGGAGCTGCTGGGATTACAACTGGGATCCCAGGCGCGATTAAGGGAAGGACTTTAGCCACTAGGTCACCATGCTGGGCCCTCATTTTTTTTTTTTTAAGACTTATTTTATTGTTATTGCAAAATCAGATGTACAGAGAGGAAGAGGAATTTTTACTGTGCAGCATTAACCTGCATGTCTATTCTTGTGCTACTACCAGGCAGTTTAACTTCCCTGTAGCATATCCTGAAGTCTGATGTAATGCCTCCAGCTTTGCTTCTGATGTTTAAGAATACTTCAGCCATTTACGGTCTGTTGTTTCCCATATGAGTTTTAACATATTTTGTTTTCTAAATATGAGAAAAAATGTCAGGCATTTTGTCTGGAATTACATAGAATGGAGACTACTCAATGATCCAAAAGCACATTAATGATATGACTCAGCTATCCCACTCTTGGGAATTTATATGCAAAGGAAATGAAATCAGCATATGAGAGAAAAATCCTACCCTTGTCTTTCTTGTAGCTCAATTAACAATATCTAACATATTTAATAAATCCTGATGTTCTTCAACTGAATATTGGATAAAGAAAATGTTGTGTACATACACCATGAAACACAACTCAGCCTTTCCGAAAAGGAAAGAATTCTTTTGCCACAAAGTAGATACAATAGGAAACCACTTTTGGCTAGCAAAATAAGCCAACTAATAAGAAAAAAAGAAAGTGATATTAAAGACAAAATAAAACAGAAGAATAAAATGGTTACTTTGGGATATGTTTGTTGCTTTTAGCTCATGTTGATATTGCAGAGTGATAATGTGACTTTGTAACAATTTTTTGTTGTTGTTGAATGCTATGATTAGTGGCAAGTTAATAGAATTTGGGGAGTCAGGAGACAGGGTTGAGACTGAAAAGCAAACAATCCGCGAATAGGTAGGACTAACACCAAACTTGTGTTTAAGATCAGACTTCTTAAATGCACTTTTAGATACTTGTGATTGGTATCCTCTAACAAATAATACATTAGTGAAGAACTATAATCATTAGAAATTAAATTACTAACAATATGTAATAAATAGTAAAGAGTTTATATCAATGATCAATGTGTCTTAAGAAGCAGAGCTTTGGTATTATTTTTACTAATGATTCCAAGGGCTTCCTCTGTTTAACGATGTTTAACGATAGGTACTTTAAAATGAGCAAACTATTTTTCATTTCTTTTAAACAAACTCTTTTGTATTTGCAAAATATAACACAATGTTATAATACTTTTCTGAACATAAATCTTTTAATATTAGTAATATCTCCTATTAATCTCTCTGTGCCGAACCATGATTTATGAATATATGGCATGGAACCCATTGGGGGGAAACTGTGAACTAGAACCTTGAGATAATTAATCATGTTTACAAGGCAATCCGGTAATAATTGTTTATGAGAACATTTATGCATCAGTTGATGTCCTAAGTCAAAATAACTCATTTAACTATCAAATTCACACACTTCAGTATTCAAATTAATTGCTTTTACTGATATGTAGAGATCCAGGGATACCTTCTTCCACACAAAATAAAACTGTTCTTTCAAATCCAGTATATAGAAAAGCAACCTATATTTAGCATAGCCAATATTTATCCTTACTATATACAAAAGTGAAGTACCCAAAAATTTAGGTGGGCAAAATCTGTTAAAATTATATCACTTTTGGGGCCTGGTATGGTAGCCTAGCAGCTTAAGTCTTGGCTTTGCATGATCCAGGATTCCATATGGGCGCCAGTTCTAATTCCGGAGGCCCTGCTTCCCATCCAGCACCCTGTTTGTGGCCTGGCAAGGACGGCCCAAGGTCTTGGTACTGTATACCCATGTGGGAGACCTGGCAGAAGCTCCTGCCTGCTAGCTTCGGATAGGTGCAACTCTGGCCATTTTGATCACTTGGGGAGTTAATCAACGGAAGCTCTTCCACTCTGTCTGTCTTCCTCTCATATATCTGACTTTCCAATAAAATAAAATAAATCTTTGAAAAAAAAGATCACTTTTTATTTAATATTTTAAAGATTTATTTTAAAAATAAATATTTTATTTATTTATTTATTTATTTATTTATTTATTTATTGTGGAGGCAGATATACTGAAAGATAAATAGACAGAGAAAGATCTTATGTCTGCTGGTTCACTTCCTATGTTGCTAGAATGGCTAGAGCTGAACTGGTCTGAAACCAGGAATCAGGGGCTTCTCCCAGGTCTGCCACATGAGTGCAGGGTCCCAACTACATGAACCATTTTCCTACTGCTTTCCTAAGGCTACAAGTAGGAAGCTGGATGGGAAGTAGTGCAGCCGAAACATCAATCACCTCTCTCATTTGGGGTCGTGGTGCAATGCAAGGCAAGGATTCAAACCACTAGGCTACTCCGCTGTTTCAGGAGAAATGCTCTGCTTTAATATGTTTCATTCTCATAGAAAGTTTCAAATTGTAAGTGCATGCTGTAAAGGAATCCGGGCTCTGTACAAAACAAAACTTAAATGTCTCTTTTCATTTTCTTTTGAGGATTGTTCCTTGTTTTTATCACATACTTGTTGCTTTTTTTTTTTTTTGTATATTGTCTAATTTTCTTGGCATAAGCCTCAGTAATTACAATGGCATTTATAGAGATTAAAAAAAAAAACAGAGAGTGGGAATGCTGTTACCAACTTTATTATATAATCCATGGTTGAATTACTACGTTGGACATTATCAATGTGATTTAGCTTATTAATGCATTCTTTTTCATCTGTTTTCTCCATGTTGTTTGTTGGTGGGGATATGAGAGATGTCAAGCTACTTACTATTTTAGTTAAAGATGTTGGGAGACTACTGAAGTTTTTTATGGAAAGAAACAAATTTACTTTCTGCCTTAATGTACATTGCAGGATTTTGACATTTTGAGAACTGCATTAGTGATTTTTTCCTGAGGTAGATGAGAGAATTAATCAAAGTAGCTGCTAACAATAATTGGTTTGGCTTAGACACTTAAAATGTAGCTAGATGTGATAAACAGGAAGAGAAAAATTTAACATTTTAATTTTAGTTGTTCTAGTGTTGGTGTCACAATGCAAGCTATCAATGAATGTTGCACAGAAGACAGCTGTTTACAGTTTAATTACTGTAAACAAGCAATAGGAACATAAAACATGTTGGAAGTGCAGGGGTGGAACAAAGAAATAAAAGAAACAGTGAGGGGGGATGAGCATCAAAATGATTTCTACAGTATTCTCATATGGCATTTATTCTTTTCATGTAAAAGATTTCTAGTACCTAAGAATTTCCTAAACTCCTTGCTATTTTAGCATCTGCTGTGCTTGTACCAGAGAAATTGTTTGTACTCAACTGCCTATGCGTTACTGGCACAGAACTTCAACAGGCTGGCAGACTTGCTATCCTCTTTGTAGTTGCTAAATCCTATGAGAAATATACATGAGACACTGCTGTAAACACTATTCTATTTTCTAGTAAAACACACCAAGCCTCTTTTGGACTTCTGTTTCTGAATAGGTGACAAAATTACCAGAATCCATGCCAAGTGTTTTATGTCATTCATAGAACCAGAGGAAATGTTGGCACAACTAACTATAGTCTCATGCACCCAAATCCACCCAAAATGTAATTCTTGCTCCGACACTGTCAATAAATTCCAGCTTCCTTAATTTCTGGGGAGTCTGGATTCATCACAGAAAACAATGATTTTCTAAATTATTGTAAATTATTATTATTGTTAACAAATATCAAATATTTCAGAGTAGGCATTAAGCCTAAATGTAAGGGAGCCCATGTCCAAATTCAAAGTACCTGGGTTTAATTCCAAGTCAGTTACAGGTCGTGTTCCAGCTTCTTGCTAATGTAGATATTCACTGGACTCCCGTAATGGCAGAAGTAACTATGTTCTTGCCATTCAAAAGTGAGATCTGTATTATGATCTTAACTCATGATTTCACAATGTAGCTGGGCTTCGGTCCAAATGTAATGGGCGGTTGTAGAATAAATCTGTCAGTGAAAAACTCCACCTCCCGAATAAATACTCTTTCTTCCCTTAAAATTAAACGTATTTTTTTCAACTCAGTGTTTCATTGATCTTTCTAGTTTTTGTTGACCAATTTATTAAGAACCGTTATGAGTACACACACATACGCAGAATATATAACTAGCTCTAAACAATATACAAAATACTACAAAAATTTGTGCAAATTACCATTTTCATGTTTCTGAAAGACAGTACAAGTAGTTGGAAACATCCTTGAACAAGTCATTTCACTGTATTGGTAA